CATGCAGAGTTGGAAATTGGCACTAGTCCTGTAGTCCATGCCCAACAGCCCTATAGTTTAGGTGTCATTAGGACAAGTAGAAATCTGCCATTTTTGGGGGTTTGCTTTGTGTTATCATTTTAGGACTAGTAGATGTAAAATGTTAGTTTCTGCCACTGTCAAGAATGGATTTCACATGTAGGGACTCAAACCAGGGTCTTAAGGATGATTGGCAGACACATGTACCTCTGGGCTACCTCGCCTCCCCAGTGTTTGTGATGTGACCTTGACCAAAGCTGCATCATGGCAGCAACGTAGTTACAAGAGAATTGAACTTGTTTGCCAACTTCCTTGCACAGTCATCCGAGGAGTGCAGATTAGTTAGGTTGATGTTGAAAACATCCCATTTACCTCAGTGTAGAACTGATAAACAACCTGCTTTTCTACGCTGGATAATTATGAAGTACACTCAGTAGTAGGGAGGTGCAGGAGTTTGTCTCAATAGCAACGTCTCGTAAACAGCTTGGCCCACATGGGCTGGAATGCCGTCTTGGCACACGTGCGGAGATGATAGTGCATCAGCCTGACTCACCAAAGATAGCGCCGGTAATAACCTCCGTAGCACACGTCAAGCTGGAGATACGACCGACCGGTTTAGCCTGTTATATACCTGCTGCCCATATGTATAGTTTGGACTGGTGGATATAGATACTGTTTTCAGTCTCATAAATAAAACAACGTACACGAACATGGCACAAACAGATGTCTAGGAGAAGATAGTGAGAAGTGAATTGAGTATTGTTTTCTTTGCTAGATGATTGTTTGAGACATCCGTTTGGGTTGATGGCAGCATGGCTTGTGGCATCATGACATGCACACTAAATACAAAGTAAGGTCGCTAGATACACGTGTGAGCAGGATGATCGGATGTGGTGTACGTGGCACAGACCACTTCCTGGAGAATCTACCCAAGCTGGCCATTCTCTGAGATTTATCCAAACCTGCTCAGAGATCGTAGTCGGTCTCAAGTCTGCAACAAATGTCAGCACAAATACCCATATTGGAATTAAACGTTTCCCCAAGTCATGGTGTTGTAGTTATAAGGAACTAATGTCATGGCTTGAGGTGACTTGTAGTCCACTGATTACACTACCATCGTGGGAGAGGCTTCAGTGCTTAGGTTAACATTACTGCATTGAATGTACATTGACATCCAATGTTAAAATACCTCTGAAGTTAGGAAAATAACAACTTTTTGAAACAATCCCAATTTTAAACAAGATACGGCCATGCTTGTCACGGCCGATTGGGTGGCCAGGTTTTCTGACACAGCTGATCGTTGAACATCACGCCTCGATGACAGGGTTTGTTGCTCATTCTACTGGTTGGTCTGGTCCAGATAATTTGAAAGCAGATACAGCAGCAGAGATGGAGATAAGGTGCATCTTCGCTGAAATTAAATATTTATTACACTATGAAAATACTATTGAAATAAAACTAATGGGAAGAAGAAGAAGACTGATTGTATATTTACACCCACAGGGGGCAGGGTACAAAACATGAACATGACTAATTAAAAACATTGACATACACATTAGAATACAAATATTGCTATGATTATATTGCTAGAGAGGAGATGCAGATTTTCATTGCCTGAACATTTTGTGAATTTTGTCTCAGATCTTTGTAGAGAAGGCATCGCAACAGGAAGTGTTCCTCATCTTCTATTTCGTTAATATTACAGAAGGTACATGATCTTTCTTCTGCTGGAGTGTTAAAGTATCTTCCTCTCTCTTTGAAGGTCGTGAGTCTTAGTCTTGTAACTGCTTTGTGGTATTCTAAAGTGGTGGTTACTTTTAGATATGGTTCCGAATTTGTCTCTTATTTTCACGGGGTGTCTGAGCTTATATAATTTGGGGGTTTACTTGATGGGGGCTTGGTCAGTTTCACGGAGGTATATGGACGGGAACTTTCATGTTTGTTGTGTATGTCACAGCTACTAGAGAAAACAAGTATGTATCGATGACTGACAGTTACATTCAGTAAAACGTTTATACCAAGCGTATTCATTTGGTTTTAAATTATTTACAGAGATTGTTACGAAACAGGTTTTCAAGTTAAATACACATATGTAAGGCATGGGTAAAAAGAAATTGAATACCCACTAAGAATTCTTAATAACCCCTAAAAATCCATGGGTAAAATACCTAAATAATCAAAAGCTATCTGGAGCTCTGATAGCTGACATTTTGCTGACTGAGTTAAACAGCATGTTTTTTCTCATGTCTAAAGGTCACATGACTAAAACACATGCAGGCCCATGCAGCGTGTGTAACCAGTTGTTCTGACATTTCAGCTTCCACGCCTCTTCCATCACTTTGTCAAGGAACTGACAATTTAATTTTAGTTTTCGGCTTGAAATTACACAATCTGCCAGTGAACCGCGTCTTGCAATGTGAGCATCTTCACCGATCAATTTCCACTCAGACATTCAAAGTCAGCCATGTTGGACCCACTGTGACAATTCTCTGTCAAGTTTCGTTTCTGGGACTCCTGACATTTTGTTTGCTAGTCTGCGGTAATGAGATTATGGTGGCACGCCGTGTATTGGCAAACCCATCACGCAATGCCATGGGACATGGGAGGCGGCCGGCCATGTTGGTTGGAGAGGAAATAAAAACATATCCACTATTGTCGACATTTCATTGTGTGTTTCAAAGGCTTCGTCCAGAAAGATCATTTCCTATTCTGGCATGTGTTTTCTGTTGGCAGAGTAGGAAGCAACATCAAAGAAATCATGATGTGTCAAAATTACTTTGAAATTAGTCTCCTGCCACACATGGTTTGTGGGCGTCATAGATGCTTGTCCAGCTGAGCCGAGTCGGAGCAGTGGAGCGAAATAGAAATAAATTGAAGCCTGAGATTTGTAATGACTTCATACACATGTCATCTTGGAATTGAATCATTGGTTCGTTTGTGGGGAGGATTTGACAATCTGTCCTTTGTTCTGGCTGTGAAGATAAAACATTCCAGATTGATGATGAGGAGTTGTGACAAGGCTGCTCAAGGTGCACACTTTCAGGTCCTTCAACCTCCGTCCTTTGTCACAGCTGGAGGAACCACACACATCAAACTGTTCATATCACCATCAGGGATGAACCAGGGAAGATCCGGGGTAGAACAGGTCTTCAGCATCCCATGCTTGCTGTAAGAAGCAACTATCGGGATCGGGGGGTCTGGCCCCCTGACTTGGAGGATGCAGACTGCCATCATATAGCTGGAATATTGCTGAGTGTGGCAGAACAAAACAAACACCAAGGCTGAGTAAATGTCAACTGTTTGATGTCTGTGCATATAAACCATTAGTATTTATTCTTGTTGCAGAATTGCTTAATAAGCGTTAAACATGATTTACTCGCATATATGCTAACAGGAGGTCATTAATTGCCGTGAGTTGCATCCCTAAGGTGGCCAGAAATCTGTGATCGTGGATTTGAATCCCACTTCGCTCTGATTAGCTATCTAGGTTAATCAGCTGGCAAAGGCATGGGTTAGATCCCCCACATGGTACAATGTGTGAAGCCCATTTCTCGTGTCCCCTGCCCTTATATTGCTGGAAAATTGCAAAAAGCGGCATAAAACACTACTCACTCACTCACTTGGTTTATCAGCACCATACCCATGCGTCATTTCAAGCTTTCCTCCCACATCAGACGTGCCATGATATCACGAAAGACTACTGTTCAAGATTGGGTTAAACCTCACTTACTGAAGATTAATTTTGAGTTGATCAGGAAATAATTTATATCATGGTTTTCAAAGAGGTTTTTTTGGGTGTCTCGCCAAAGTCCTGGGTTTGTGTTTATTATTTGTAGGTTTTCTATATACTGCAGCATGTCACTATTTGCCCAAGTTGTAACTGAGCAGCAAGATGAAGTTGTTCATTGACATCCAACAGCAGCCTCTTATAGTGCTACTCTTGTTGGAGGTAGTTGCTGGGAGATCAGCATAAGAACTTGCTTCCTGGCCACTTCACAAGTGGAAGCTGTACTTATGTACAAGTGCTGATTGTGTGGTTTTCATTGCTACATTGTATTAGAGTGGTTAAGATGAAGGGAGAATTGTTACTGATATATTTCAAGTACAGCTTTTGTTTTGTCTGGAAATTCAGTTGAATTGGCATGTCTTAAATGCAGATAGTGGATGTTTTCAGTCAAGAGTTGCATAATGTATGCAGTGTAGTATAAGAAATGTGCTGAGAATAATAATTCACTCAATGTTTAATTTGCTCAGGCCTGTATACACAACTCCAATGAAGTTAGTATTACTATAGTATTACTGACCTGACAGATTAACTACAGTAATATGAAGGTGTTCCTTAACTTCTTCTGAATAGTATACATACAGTAGGTCCAAGCTGTAAAGTTTTCCCTTTATCAGGAATATATCTGTGAAAATGATGGTTCAGAAAATAGGTACAGTATCCATATTGCTGAATAACGTGGTAATGAGATACTTTGGGGGTTAGCATGGCTAATTAAGGAGTGCAACTCTGCACAGTAAATATATCACTGGTTTGCACAACTGGGACATCATTGCTGTCTGTTAAACACCCTTATGACTGAAGAAATATACAAAGCTAGAATGTTGTACAATGTTGCAAGCCATATTAGTTCAGCAGTTTCATCCCTGAGTTTCTAGGGCTTCGGTCCTGCCCCACACTGAAGCACATGCTGCACATGTGGTGTCTCCCCTGGGGCAAGTCACTTCTGTTCACCTGCAGTGAATGGGTACCTGGTAGGATGAGATGGTAATGTGGCTGTTAACCTGCTCGCGCCTCACAGGCACCTTGGGTTGTATACTCTCCAGGGAGCTAAGAATGAAAATCGAGTGCACACTGATCCATTGATGGGTGTGATTTATGAACATTTACTTGGTGATTGGAATTTGGCCCATTATAAATGCACATCATCATTATTATTATTATTATTATTATCTATAAGTCTTCTGTTGTGTTGCAGGTGACAGAGGCTGGCAAGGACGCGCTGCCTCGGTGGCTGGTGTTCTCTCCCACGAAGCAGCTCCTCCAGGGGATGCCGACATCCAGTGACCTGGGACAGTACTACGTCGAGGTGGTTGCTGTCGGACACAATGGTGACCAAGCCAAGGACATATTCTCCATCTTTGTGAATGAGGATGCTGGACCAGCAACAGGTTCAACTCTGCAATTCAAAGAAGGCGGTCCTAAAACTGTGCGTTGTAAAAGATCCGAGCCAGAGACGGCTGTGAGCATTGTGGTTGATGTTGATATCGATAATCTGGGTGCACAGGAAAGACTTGACTTCCTCACGAAATTTGTATCTCATCTGAACCTCGCTGAGGATATGGTGAAAATCAACCAGGTTGGCCTGAAGCCATTGACAGATGCCTCAGCTCTTGTGTCTGGTGCAGGTGATGCCAAGACTCTACAGACGCCAGGATCCTTCGTGTCGTGGCTGGTCGGGTGTGGCAGGGTACAACAGGACCATATGCAGGCCCTCCAACAGGTGGAGACTGACTCGAGCAATGGTGTCATGGCCAACGCTATTGGCTACCCAGTCCATGTCTGGCACGTCACAAACAGCAGGTTCCAGGAACACAAGAGGCGGAAGAGACAGGCTGTACGACCCACTGCTACCCCCGCCGTCACGCCCACCCTGCCCATCAGAGGTCCAACTGACACGATCCGAGCTACTGGCGCAGATCAGGAAGCCATGACACGACCTGTGCCAAAACTTTACTCGCCATCATTCGGTATCCAGCCAACCAAGACAATGGCACCAATGGAGAAGACGGCCACCCCAGGGCAAGGAGGAACGCCCGTGATGTCCACAAAGGTGCCAGGTGGCATGAAACCTTCCGTTGTCATGCCAGATGAGAAACCAATGACCAAGACACAAGTTTTGCCAACCAAGACTTACGTGATGACGGATGTGATGCCTTCAAAGTCAATGCCAATGCCTACCAATGCTCCAACAAGAAAACCAGAATCTGGAGCATGCAAAGACCTAGTGCCTGTCGTCAAGGAGCCAATCAAGAACATGCTGTTTACTGTAGGAGAAATCATCCGGTACAAGATTCCTGATAATACGTTCTATGACTGCAGAGTTGGAAATACGAGAAAGCTGAGACTCATTCTCATGGCCAACATCACAACTGTGCTTCCTCCTGACTACTGGATCAAGTTTGACTCCAGGAAGCAGCTGATCCAGGGATTACCAATGGAGGCGAATGTCGGTAAACACACGTTTAACATGATTGGTTTTAATGCAGATGAAGCAGACACTGTTGCCAAGAACACCTTCAACATCACCATTATACCAGACCCAAGGTCAGCAACAGGTCAACTCAACCACGAAGTCAGTATGACTCTTGACTATGATTTCGAGAAGTTTTCTAGCAGTACTGAAAACAAGATCAGCTTTATGAATAAAGTAGCCAAGCTGAACGGTGAGCGAAATGCGAAAAATTTCAAAATGAACCGAGTCACTAAAGGTTCAACAGTAGTGTCTTGGACCAACACAAATCTTGCCTCCCCAGATTGTCCCGTCGATCAGATAAAGATGATGATGTCCAAGTTTGTTCAGGAGGATGGGACTCTGAGCAAAGAAGCAACAAGGGGCATGAAACCTTTTAACTTGAAGGGCGTCGGAGTGGTTCCGCTTGGAGCTTGTGAAAATGACCCCAACTTCCCTGTCCTGGCAGTCACCAAAGACGACACAGATGAACCATCATCACCTGATGGGACTGACACAACCGACGAGACAACAGAGGATGAAGACCCACCAGTTACCCCGGAACCTGTTCCAACCTCGACTGAGGGCGTGAGGACAGGATCTGCTGGTGGTGGGCCATCGGACGATATCTGGATCACGACCGTGGTGCCGGCTGTCGTGATTGTGGCCATCTTGCTGCTGGCCCTCCTCATCGCCTGCATCCTGTACAGGAAGAAGAGGAAGGGGAAGATGAACCTTGAGGACCAGAACACATTCGTAAACAAGGGAGTGCCCGTAATATTCCAGGATGAACTTGATGAAAAGCCTACAGATAGTAGCAAGCCTTTGTTAATGGAAGGGCAGCCCCCCTGCCCTCCTCCGGAGTATCAGAGAGGGGACAGTCAAGGCTCCACCCCTCCTGTGAATCATAAACAACCTCAGTTTGATCACGATGACCATATAGAGGACACGAATGTCACATCGCCGCTGTACCAGCCGCCACCACCCGTCACCGCATCCAGTGGCAACAAGCAGCCCCGCCCACACGTTCCCCAGCCTGCGTACCGCAGCCAGCCTCCCTCCATCCCACCATAAGCTCTCCCTCATCTCCGAGAGGCGTTGTAGGAAGTTTGAGAAATAACAAAGGAGGTGCGAATTTGTTGGGGATTGTTATTGTTTAAGAACTATGCATTGCCTTGAACAGACTTTGGGGTCGTGGAGCCGTTTCTTGATTCTTCTCGTCAGGATCCCGATGTGAATCCTGACAAATTTCAATTGTACAGCATTGTTTGAAATATTGCACATACCAGTGTAACAGCTGAAAGAGAAATCTTGGGGATGAAATTTGTACCCTAGCAACTTGAAATATCAGTGCTTTACTTGTGGTGGGACACTAAATCTGCATGCATTATTGATAATGCCATTTATGCCTTATGAGGAGACAGTGACTTCAAGGTTAAAGCTGGGTGTCGCTGGACTGGGAATGTGGCTTCCAAAGTTGTTGCATATCTGCGTGGAGGAAGATGTGTGGATACCAGCAGTGACTGACTGATGATGGTAGACTCGAGCACCTGACTGAGGTCAGCTATGTGTAATGTCAGTGTTGTTTTAGTCATCTCAGGAGATTGTTATAATACTCAACCTGTAGCGGGGAGGTGGGAGGGGATTTCTCATTAACTACTTGGATGGCAGAACTGGCCACCTCATTCACCCAATGAAGTATTCTTATTGTAGGTTTTAGCTTCAAAAGGATTTTAACGTTGTTTTTTTTAGAATGTTTTCTAATTATATTTGTTGTTATGACAGATTATTTTGATAAAACTGATATTTGATACTGCTGACATGGAATCGGAAAAAGCTCATTGTCATGATCACTGGTGGTGTTCTGCCACCAAGTCAAGAAGCAAAAGGTACAATCTAAATCATGGTTCAATGGAAGCTTGCGAGCTTAGTGACATTGTGTCCAACAATCAGATGGGGTATGAAATCCAGTGGTAGGTTGAGTTATGTTTACCAATGCAAGCATTTAGTCTGCAATATGTCTGTATTATCTGCTCCTACTCTGCTTCAGCGTAGATGGCAGCTGCTAGCAGCACTATAGAAAATATTCTGTTGTAGAAGCCTTGACCTTTTATGGCGGTACATGACCTTTGAAATCATGTGACCATATCATGTGACCATTTGTTAGAAAGAGCTGGAAAAATGCTTTCATGTGAAATATATTGTAGTAATTTAATAAAATTGTGATTTATTTTATTTGTGCTATTTCGCCAATTAGGTCAAGGCTTGCCTGCATAATAAGATGACAGATTATGTCAGGTACAGAACAATAACATGTTGTCACCAGCCGCCAAGGCTGTCATTGATTTCAGTTGGTGCAGGTTCATGTACATAGAATCATTAGACATTGTGAATGTACCTTGTTTATGCTTATATAGTATGCAGACTGTATAGATGCTACCTGCTACACCCCCTGTCTGGAGGGTGGACTGATCCGTCAGTTACATGATCAGTCCAACTTGACTGATAGGGGTCCCTTCACTGTTTATTGTCAGACATGGCACAGTGTTTAGTGTAATTTTTAAAATCATGTCTAGTTTATTAATCGATTTCATCAGTGTCTGTATGTGCCTGTATTTATTTCATAACTGATGAATGTTGCAATATTGTGCCAATATATCTACTGACTTGATCATAAACATAGTGTCATTTAGCTGTCTTTAGCTTAGCTTTTTCACACAAGTCTTGATTCTCCCATCTTCCCCTCCTCAAGGTCACTGTACTTGGTGGAAGGTCGGGTGTGAGACTCAACATTGAGATTTTGTTCACTCAGGTATGCTAACATGCGCAAATAATACAAGCATAATGTGCTCATGTGGTGGTATCCATAGTAACGCAAATATTAACGCAAAATGACAGGTAAGATTTTTTTCCCAAAATATTTTATCAAACTTGGGAGATTTAATATAATTTATTTGACTTTTGTGTTGAATGCAAGGTGGCTTCAGCATTTGTTTCTTTTGAACTAATAAACCCAGCATTTATGAGTTGGCATAGTTATTTTATTTTGCTAGGCCAGTTCCGCCTTGTGTGTATATAGGTGTCAGCGTTGAGGACAGGCCTTGTATCAGTGCATGACCAGTCCACAAACACCCGACAATGGACGTCAAATCCTAAACTTGAGCAAATGCAGGTGTATGATAGTATCGGATCAGTCATTTTAATGCAGGTTTGAGTTCTCGATTAGAATCGGAACCATCCAGTCATTCATGATTTTTATTTTTTAAATGTGATTTGGTACATTTGACCAAGGAAACATCTACCCCACCACTACGTGTAGTATGTAAATCTCCCAGTCAATGCTAATGGTGTTGATGTTGTAAATTTAAGACTGTTGATATGTGTGAGGAATGTGTGTGTGCTCTTGTTGCAAGATGACCGGATACGCCTTGTAACATGGTCGTGCTGTAGGGTCTCTCTTCCACATACCCGTACCTTTCTCAAGTGATATATCATTTATCATTTTCTACCTGACTTGAAAAGTCCTATACCTGTAGCTTTATGTTGGATGTACATATTAGTGTGCCTCTGGTTATGAACAGATTCAGTGACTGCCAAAAGAATAGAAACCCTCGACAACAGGTGCTCAGAGGGAATGTGAAACACTTCTTTAGTTTCCTGTGTCAGGATTTTCCAACCTCAGAACACAAATTAAAGAGAGAGGCTGATTAAAATACATTTGTTGACTTTCAGTTTAGATTAATAAGAAAAATAATTAGATACGAAACATTCGTTCATATGTAAACAATTAAAGCATTTGTTGTTTTGTTCCTGCAAAGTCATCCTACCTCCAAAGTGTTCTATGAAATTTAAGCTTTATACCTATTACTCTTCTTCACGAAATGACTTTAGTGTTTAATTTCATCTAATATTATACATCTGTAAACATACAATTAAGATCTGAAGATGAAATTGATGGATGTAATGGTATCTCTCCTGCTCATCCATAGAAACAAACAGGTAAATATCTGAATAATGGAGCAATGTACCACCAATGTACCAGCACTCTCAAACAGCAGATTAGATGAACCTGGTCCTTATTTGAGGAATTGACCATAAATAATTCAAGGATTAGAAGTGTGAGGTATATTTCCTCTGAGCGCACCAGTTGTGAGGAAGGTGTTATGTGTAGCTAGCTTCAAGAGACGTAGAACATTGTCTGCTGCTGCTGCTGCGGTGTGGATGCGGTTACGATGTTGTACAAAGCGTGTGCTGGAAATGAATGACGGAGGGAGGTGATCCCTCACGTGAAGATTTGTCATTACTGTACCGATACGTAAATATAAACCTGTCTTGTCAGTGTACCATCTAGCCCGATTCAATAAACACATTATGTAAAACATGACCATGTGTTTGTGTTTCCTTCGCATGAGTGAGTGAGTGAGTGAGTTGGGTTTAACGCCTTTTGACAGTATTCCAGTTATATCACAATCAGCTTGATGTGGGAGGAAAACCTGAAGTGATGCAGTCTGAGACGTTTACTACTTGGTGAAACCCAGAATTTCCGGTATGGTGCTGACAAACCTAGAAACATAATCGGGTCGAACCGGGATTTTAACCCACAATCATAGGTTTCTGGCATGTACAAGGGATGAAACTGCACAGTGAATTGCAGAGCCTTAGACGACTTGGCCACCCGTGCCCCTGTGCTCCCCTTCTGATATCTCAACTGGAAGGGATGGCAGCAGGCCAGAGCCCCGGCAACTCTTTATTGCTGGCCCACAATCCTGCTGGAATCTCATCAAACAGCAATTATCAACTTAACTGACTGTCTCTGTGTTCTAGTGGATTGAGCATCTGCTTGGAGAGAGGAAGGTCGTGGGTTCGATCCCGGCTGCATCATACCTAGAGACGTAAAAATATGGTACTTGTTACCCTGCCTGTTGCTCGGCATTGAGGGGTGACAACAAAGACTGGTCGGCTCGGAGTCATTATACTGTTTCTGAGTAGGGTATTTTTGTTAAACTGTGGCATGGTATCGAAGTGTGCTAGCACTATAAAATTGGCATCAGTCTCGACTAGTACAAGCAGCCACAGGCACACACACACATGCATGCACATTGCTACATAAATGCTGTAATCTTGGAATGCCCTGTTCAACCCATTTCACCTCTGACTGTAGTTCTTGCTGGTGTTTGTGGTGGGGTAGACTTATGGGTAGAGCTTTCACTCTTCACACACGACCGCCTCCGTGGTCTAGTGGTAGAGCGTCCGCCCGGAGAGCGGAAGGTCCGGGGTTCGATCCCCGGCCACGTCATACCAAAAGACGTTAAAAGATGGTACTTGTTGTTACCCTGTCTGGCGCTCGGCATTAAGGGGTTAAAACAAGGACTGGTCGGCTCGGAGTCAGTATACTGTGCCTGAGTGGGGTATTCATGTTAAACTGCGGCATGTTATCTCAGTGGGCTAGCACTATAAATCGGCATCAGTCCGGACTAGTACAAACAGCCACACACAAGGATGTGGAGAAGATGACAATATGTTACAACTGAGAATAACTGGAAGACAAGACAATGACAATCAACTAAATCGCACACAACATAACATAATAAAGCATGTAAATAAAGCATATACACTACTACGTAAATCGTTCTTATCGTTATTAAAAACAGGTGCCGTTTTCGCCCGTCATATAGTAGCCGTTTTCGCCCGTCACATAGTAGCCGTTTTCGCCCGTCACATAGTAGCCGTTTTCGCCAAATGAGGTGATTTTGTGAGGGAAATTGATGACATACGGAACTTTTTGATCGGGGATAGTGGTGTTGACGACCAAAAAAAATGATTTAATTTACAAACAGGCCGAAAACAGCAAAACTTCTAAAAAACAATATGACTAAGAAAAAACTGAACTGTTCAAGACTCATGTTTGAGCAAGTAGAAAGGGCGGAGATGAAGGTAGATGGCAGAACATACTTTGTACTGTCTGCCGGGAATAATGGCTAAGACCATAAAACTTTATTAAATTTAACAGGTCAAATATTGCAGGATGAGTACAAAACAGTATCTCCTTGCCCTGCGGGACAAGTTTGGCGAAAGACATGTTTCGAGCCCCGCGGGTACAATGACAAGGTCTCTGGTGTATATAATCATTCACATTCCCAGCTAAAGGGGCAAGAAGTAGCACAGACACCTCATGACAACAAGTTGGTATCCACTACAGCTTCATGATTCATGGTCTCACAACTTCGAAATGCCAGTCAAAGGCGCAACAATGAAATTAGAAGCAACAAGGTCACCCAAGAAATGGACACAATGGATGGTCACTGAAGACAAAACACTCCTTGTGTGTTTTGCACAACTAAAAATCCCAAGATTGTGATTGGTGATATTTGAAGGTCAAGGCCACAATGACAAACGGTTCCTAAGTCAAAAGTAGATGGCTTCTTCGGTTTTTGGCAAACATTGTCCTGGCTGCAGGTACAAGCCTAACCCTGTCTGTGTCAAGTGACAGCAGGGTAGGTATTCCCATCCACAATACACCCACAATACATCCACAATACATCCACAAACATACACACAATACATCACAATACGCCCACAATACATCAACAATACATCCACAATAGACCTATAATGCATCCCAATACATCCACAATACGCCCACAGCCCGTGTTAGCTACTGATTCCGTTAAAGGGACTGTGCTCCTAGATCTGGGGCTTGTTCTATAGACAAGTCAAGACTCCGTTGTTTGTTCCATGGGTGGAATCTAGGCTTTACATTTGTGAAAGTAATCATTAACCACAACAGATATGTCATAAAAAGAGTTAGAAGACTAACGAAGTGTTTTTTCACGACTTGGATCCGACTGCCAATTTGCCCGTCCTGTTTCCCCTTAAGGGAGTCGAGACCAGCAATTGGACACTGCAGTGCAGCCCCCCTTTAACAAACGTGGATCACCGCGCCCCTTTAACACAAACACACTGCACATGCGCACATCGATATCAAACATCGTGCGTGGTGAAGAAAGGGAACCTGGAGGTGAGTCTGGAAGCATGTTGTAATTGACAGACTTACAAGAAAAATTAACCCACAAACTCGCAGTGTAGAGAATTTCTTTGTGAAACAACTCTATAAAAAATCAACAGGCGTCGTCTATTTCAGTTTGGGCAAGAAATGTAATGAACCAGTTATCGGGTTATTGAATCCAATTTGTTTTTTATCGTACATCAATTCAGCGCGGCAGAACAGCATGGGGATTTCTTTAAAACGTCAAGGGTATAAAACCAAGCGTCGTATGTGGCTGCTGCTTGCGATGAAATATCAATATCCACGTCCAATCCGATGCCATTTATCTGTCAGGCCCCGACTCTGTATACGTTACAGCTAATGGCTGGTCTGGGTGACGCCCGCGGACAGGTCGGGGGTGGGGGTGGGGTTGGGGGTTGGGGAGGAGGTGGTCTAGAGAATGGAGGAAGGAATTCCTGACAACACCTACTGTCAAGTGGACGAAGTTTCGGGATAAATAACACGTACTCGCCATGCACGACTATCCGGGCGAGATTAAACTGATGGGTGAACCCTTTGTTCTGTCTAAACTTATCTCAACCTCCAAGACCCCCATCTTTGTTTTAGAAAACTGGGTTGAACTAATTGCTGGTGAGGCGGAGGGCTCATGTTTCTAAACTGGCACATGTTTAAACTGCAATGTTTGACTGTGTGGCTAAATGTCTCGCGAACATTGAAGATTTGTGACATACCACAGGGTGCAAAGGTCACCCCACGGAGACATATGATGCGAATAATGTCTGTCTTAAAAAAAACAAAATCAAGATTCTTTGGCAAAATTAAGGATGAAGGTTAGAAGCCTGACAATTCGTCTGGAATTTTGGTTAGAAACAAAATATTTTGCTGCCACTGCAAGACATTTTTTCTCCGAAATGGGTACCGAACCATTTTTTTCAGAATGTCCAGAGAAGAATTGGTTTTGTGCGTAAAACCTTAGACAAAATATTTTTTACCACTATTTTTAAAATCTCAAGCCGCGCTTTTTCCCAATGCACCGCAACCAAAGCTTGTCAATCACAGGAACATGTTATTGGTACATCTGACCCTTCCTGTAAGTCAGCACGGGACGCTCTAAATTGTCGGCAAAGGTAAGCACACGCGTGAAAATTAGATTCTCCGAATAATTACAAACTGTATCAAAACATTGCTAGGATGTCCTGTTGTGAGGTACTCTTGATATCATGTGTGTGATATCGCCTATGATACCCGTATCAAATAACACCATCGAATAACCATTTCTTGTTGATTTCAATTTCAGCCAGCACCCAACATAGGTGTATATTTTCTATTGAACAGCAGTTTGTCTTCAGCAGAATGGTGTTTGGTGTCGGGTTGATATATGTAATAATATCATGTCCCCACACCTATATACACAACGGCAAAAAAAGGGGATTTCTTAACGTCACATAGTTGCACCGCCATGTTGCTTTCGTCAGTCCCTGCAAGGGTCCCGCAGAAAGCCGCGCTAAACCAAGGGATTCATGGCATAATTGTGTTGAACATTCCGAGTATCAATCTTACTTATGTCCCTTCGTCCATGTCTACGAACTTGTCTATGGATTTATTATTTACCTAATTCCATTCTCCAACAAACGCGTTACGCCACAGAGCTAAGAGTGTGTGGCTATGCCATTACCTAAGCCTTAATCCTTTACATAACACACGCCGTTAATGGGTGTGTAATTCACTGTGACGTTAGCCGGTACTCTATATGCTGTAACGCTCTGGGGGTGCGTATAACGTTGTACACACGCCCTTGCGTTGTCTGGCCCCCATAATGGCCACGTCAACACCGCTGGGCGCTAATTGGGTGTGACAGCTAGATGAACCACGAGACATCGGCCAGTTTGTTAAATGGCTTGTTGATGGCGAGGGCGCAAGTATAACGTCGGTTTGTTCTGGTGACGCACGATGCAGTGGAGTCATGAATCACACTGATGTTGTTTCTGTCTTGAGATGGAGCTATGTACAAATGTTGCATAAACATAGGACATTAGGCCAGTTCTGGAGAGGACCGATGACATCCATCTGTGACAGGCGAGGTCTGATTGTACCACCGCCTACATGTATATTGAATATACATATGTTATATAACTTCTTTAAATATGCTCTAAGTGCTACATGTATGTTTATGTTAACTGGAGCGGTGGGGTGGCCTCGTAGTTAAAGCGTTTGCTCGTCGCGCCAAAGATCCGGGTTCGATTCCCCACATGGGCAAACTGTGTGGTATTGCTGGAATATTGCTAAAAGCTGCGTAAAACCATACTTACTCACTCACTCACTTATGTTAACTGATTGTATGTATGCACCATTACAAAATTGCCTCTGTTCCGTAATGG